TTCGTGCCAAAGGTGACCAATTGGAACTAATCTAAACTTATTCTAAAATTTGATGCTATTTCCGATCTTTTTTTTCCTTTCATTCAATAAAATTAAAAAAATGTAAAAATTATGGCGTTTGACTTTGTTGCAGTTTTTTATCTCACCCTGTATACCCTCTGGAGCCATAGGGCTGAGGGTACAAAAATTAAATCTTGGAACGAAATGGCTTAACCAACAGCAAAAGGAGTCATATAGTGGTGAGCGTGTGCTGGTGTCTCTCCGGCTTTCCTTTTCACTGTAGATTTCAGATAATTTAGCTCATCTCGAAAGAGAAGTAAACATATAAAAGGAGATATTCTCCATTTCATTTTTCCATAGAACAAGAATTCAGACACAGATTAAAAAAATATTTGAATTAAAATTCAAAATTAAAAGGAGATATTCTTCATTTCATATTTCAGTAGAAAAACAATCCAGACCCAGATTAAAAAAAAATATTTGAGTTAAAATTCAAAATTTTCAAATTTTACATCAATGAATTTTTAAACATAACATACCTGATGTCTATCTCACATCTCAAATTAAGAATTAAGAGGCCAAATTAAGAATTTGCGGCATCAAAACATAAGACAGAGAGGAGAGAGAAAGAGAGTTTGCAATAAATATTGAGCAGTAAATGACCTATGCCCATTCACTCCTTTTGGTATCTCCCCCACAAATATAAATGTCGGTAGTAACGAAAGTCTTTTAATCCTTTGAATGTTGTTTTAATATTTTCTAACAAAAAATATTTATTCAAATTCAAATGGTTTCTTGAAATTTAAAATCTCATCTTAATATTTATTTAATTTTCATAAAAAATTAAATCAAAACATGACAACTTTAAATTTATCGATTCAAAACAATTCCTGCAGATACATTGCTCAACACAAAATTGTTTCTGAAGTAAAATCAAAGTTTAGAGGTAGCATTTTCAATTTTCATTAAATAAAGTTCTACGATGCAGTTTTCTATCTTATTCCTATCTCGAAGTAGAAGAAGAAAAAAACAGAAAAAAAAACAACAACAACAATAAACATTAAGAAATCACAAACAGTAAACTAAGTAAGAAGTAAACTTCGACAGAACCGAAGGAAAGAAGAACTAAAGCCGGTGAAATAAACAACACAATAGTTTGCGATGAATGTGCTTTTGATTTGTACCATTTTTCTTCGACAACAAAATAAAAAGTGAACGTGGAGAACGGGCACACAAAACCCCAGTAAATAGAAAACTCATTTGGTATAGAAAGGAGAAAAAAATGCCAAGAAGAGAAATAGCATGAAATGACAGGGCATCATAGAGAACGGTAGAGAGCGGAAGGAAATAACTAAGAAACGAATGAATGAATCTGACAACAGGATAAGCAAAACAAAACCAAAGAAGAACACAGAACTCAAGAAAAACTTTATCAAAACGATGAAGTGGGACAAAACTCTGACAGGCAGAAATATATATATCTAACAAAAACAACAACAATACCACCAACTACTACAACATAACTTTTAAGTTGAATGGTGCCAGAAGAAGGCAAGAGTTAAGGCAACAACCGTAGCATGACAATCATAAGACAAGAAATCTAAGTTGATTCCAAAGACTTGTTTCGAAAAGATCGAACCGAAACGGTTGGTATGCAATGGCATCGAACACACACACACCCATACACACACTGACAAACTCAAGTTCCGTAACTCACGTACTCTGTACCTTGCAATGACATCGACAATAACTTTTGCCATTTTTCCAAATGGAAAAATCAAAAGAGAAATATTCGTTACAAGGAAATAATTGAAAAGGATTTATTTCCTTGCACTGACAGTAGAAACAACAGCAACAACAAAAAAAAAAACAATACAAAAACGACAACAATAACCTGAATGTTACTAATGACTTATAGTCGTCGTCTGGTTGATAGAGAGCACATTTGAAAAATTGAAATGTTGCAATAAAAAATACATCGTACACACACACACACAGATACACACAACAAAGAGAATGAAGTTCTTTTAGATGCACTACGACTGCACATGACATGATAGATGACGATGGCTGAAGAAGATAGAGAAGGATAAGGACGATAACAAACCGTGTATGCAGCAATTAATTAATTAGAAAAGTTACTGCCTTTATGTAATGTCAATAAAAAAATAACTTAATTAAATGGATTTTGATTATAGGAAACTATTGGCGGAACAAAAAGCTTTGATTTAAATTATTAAGGAAATAAGTGGAACAGGAGAAAAAGAGAGAGCTTTGATGCAGGTCCACGTCTTTGAGGAACAAAGAGCTTTGATTTCAATTATTAAGGAAATAAGTAGAACAGGGTAGGGTCTGTTCAGAGTAATAATTTTGGATTTTAAAGAGTCTTTTCTAGAGGACTATGAGGATTTTTAGATTTTGGAGTGATTTTAATTTTAATATTCCTTCAAATATTTATTATGTTTAAAAATATTTCTTCGCGAGGCCATATGAACTAAAATCGTGAATTAAAAAAAAAACAAGTAAAAAATCAGCTAAGTTCAGCAGGGCTGAACTTTGGAAGGAATTTGAAAATTGTCAACAAAAAAATCAATAGAAAAATGTAGTACCCATTACGAACTTCAAATACGAAATTTGACGCAATTTCGGTGAATAATGTAGCGAAAATCCTGGAAATACCGAATATCTCGGGTATGCTATACCATGGGTGCTATACCAAACGCAGACCTGTATCGACAATTCTCTTCCAGGGAATGAAGTGCTCAGAGGGAACTCTTTGTGTAGGTTTTCAGACTATTCCATTGAAAAATGTATCTGAAATCATCAAAATACCGAATATCAGGGGGCACCATTGTATGGGGGATATACGATATCGAGGATCTATATAGAAAATTCTCTTTCAGGCGGCAAACTTCTCAGAAGGAACTCCTTGTGTAGAATTTTAGACCAGAATTGTTTCAAATTTCGTATTTAAAGTTCTACGACTAAAAATAGCGTATGGGAGTGAAATTTCGTCTTCGTATTGCCCCCTAAAACGATACCTCCCTATATTCGGTAATTTGATGGTTTTAGAGACATTATTAACCGGAATTGTTCCAAATTTCGTAGTTGAATTTCGTAACGGGTACTACAATGAATGACCAAAAAGTGTCTGTATAGCCCCCATATAACTATACCTCCCTATATTCGATATTTTGATGATTATAGGATAGTGGAATTGCTTAAAATTTCGTATTTAAGGTTCAGAATCGGTACAATAGGCTATGGCAGAAAATTAGTTACAGAAAATTAGAAAATAGTTACATACCTCTCGTATAGGGACCTATACCGCTAAAGCTGTATTTTTGGACGGATTTTTTTATTTTTTCAAGTTCCTTTCAATTGGTGGAAGGTATAAAAAGTTCGACCCGACCGAACTTAGCTTATCTTTTACTTGATTTTTTTTTTCTTTAAGAAATTTCAGATGTATACTCGTAGATTTTTACACAGCCGGAGGATGTCAATCACAAAATATGAAAATATATACATTTTATATATGAAAATTTTGAAAAATTAAAAAAGATTTATAAAGGTTATGGATGTCGGCATACTAATCCATATTTGGACTCAATATTTTATGCAAATATGTGATAAATTCTCGTGTATCTCTAAAGTTTTTAATCTGGGAAAGTACTTCTTTAGAGAGTCTTCTTCGAGGAAATAAGCTCTGGAAGGCCAAATATTTTGAATTGTAACAAACTACTTGACTCAATCAAGGGTACAAAATACTACACATCAATTTATTTGCCATGTATATTCATTTATGTTATTAAATACAATAATATTAACTAAAAAATATATAAATAAAAATAATTAATTTTTCCAATCAGATAAATTAAATTTTATTTATTATAATTTTTTATTTAATGTATTAATATTAATAATTAAAAAAATATTAATGAAAAATAATTAATTTTTGTTATCATTTAAATTAATTTAAATTGTTTATTAATGTAATTTTAATTCTTTGTATTTTCTCAAACAAACATTCTTATTAATTGTTTTTTTTTTTCTCTTTTTTTCTCTCTTCTCTCTTTTTTCATTTCATGTTTGCTGTCTACTCCTCGATGATGCTGATGATGACGATGACAACTTTGATATCAATGCTGACGCTGATGCTGTTACTCCGCGAATTGCTGCTTCTTTTCGTTACCTCTTTTGGTCAATATGAAATCAACTATCATTTCCGTTTCCTTCGTTTGCCATCCTTCCTCGATTCCTTCCATCCTTCCTCCCTTCCATTCCATTTTATTGTTTTCCTTTACTGTATTATCATCATTGTTTTAACGGCATCTGTCGCTTGTTTCTTTTACATATCAATTTTTCTTTTGGCTTATGTCAACAAAAACAACAACAACAAAAATATTATCTGTTTGACATCCTTATGCTCTCTTGTAACTCTTCACAATGTGGCTGATGCCTCTGCTGCTGCTGATGATGATGACACTCCTCTTGGCAAATATATTTCGATTATGTTTGCTGTTGCTGCAACTTGCAAACAAACAAACAAACAAAAAACAAACTGCATTCATGTCAACAATCAACTGTGCAATCCCATCTTAACGACATGCCCTCACCCAAACACTCCACACACAAACACACACACACACACCCAATGCAATGCAATCTGATGCAATAAATTGTCAATAATCTATATATAAACATATACATACATATCGGTATATCTCTCGCTCTCGCCTTTTATATATAATTCTACTTGTCTGGATGCCAATTCTTCATTTGTTCATTTCGATAATTTTTTTTGCTCCATCTCTGGAATTCTTTCAACGTCTGCAAACATTTTTTATGGGCTTTGCGAAAAAAAAACCAAACATGCAACTGCTGATACTGACAATGCCACCGCCACTACTACCATCACCATTACCACTTCCACGATTACATTACTCCATCTGGCCTTGGCTCGTCTACCGAATCCTCAACTCTCGCCATTGCAACTGCAGCTTATAGAAAATGTCAAAGAACCGATGTATTTTGCAATCAACCCGGCGGTTTACCACCCTCGGATGGCAGTCGTTTGTCCGGTCCATGTGTGCCCACGGAGAAACGTTGCGATGGCTATTTGGACTGCCGCAATGGTCGTGATGAAGAGGACTGCCTGGGCACCGCCTGTCGCCTGGATCAGTTTCGTTGTGCCAATGGCTTAAAGTGTATTAGTGCTTCATTGAAGTGCAATCACAAGGATGACTGTGGCGATAATTCTGATGAACAGGGATGCAGTAAGTATATATATGTCTCTTATGTTATCAATATCTTCTTATGCACGATATGTACGTGTATATGTGTGCGTATGAATGAATGGATGGCTGCGAGTACGTCCTTTGGTTTCCTCCCCGTTATGTTGCTGCTTCGTTTTATCATCATTTGTTTAGCTGCACCGGCAGTTGCCATTGTCGTTGCTGTTGTTGTTGTTATTGTCGGCCATGGCTTGTGGCGTCCATTTGACATGACCATTGTGTTTGTGTCCTTTGATTCTGATTTTGGTACGGCATTGTTTCGTTTGCTCACAAACAGATACTGAAGCTGCCACTGCTGTTATTGTTGCTGCCGCTGCCCATGCGGTGTTCTGGCAACGAATTTAATGTTGTGGAAAATTTACGGAATGTCAAAAAGGGAAAATCCCATGCATTTCCAACCTTTGGTCATGCATATTTTGCCGAGTGATTGCTTTTAAGAAGATTTGTTTGATTACAGTGCATTGGATTGATTGATTTCCAATTCTAAGAAGGCACGGCCCAGACATGATGACAGAGCCAGGGTGACCAAGGACAATATGGCATGTGTGATGACTGCAACACTATTAGGCTTCGTTGGAAGATAATAGAGATTGTTAGATTTCTGTGGGTGTATTTGACATTTAAGGTTTTGGGGGCAAACAAATGCTAGAGTGTGTAGGGGGCGTATGGGTAATAATCTGTGACAAAAGAGGCGTATGAGTATTATAATGTATTATGGTATAAGTAATATATTTCTTATACGATAAATGGCATTGAGTCATAGCCGGAAATGATCAATCACAATGTATTATGTAAATGTATACAAACTATATGAAAATTTTGGGAAAATAAAGAAGGATCTAGGGGGGAGTTGGCATTTTTATCCAAATTTAGTTGAAATGGGACAGGAAATTTTGTTGTGAAGAAAAATCTTCAAGGAAGACTTAGACTCAGAAAAATGCAGGATTTTGTAGAAATTATGGATATCTAAAATGCCATGGGGGGAGTTATTTTTTTAGATTTTTTTTTCAAGAATAAGTTTTGAGAGGTTTTTCAATGGGTGCGATTAAAATAATCAGATCAATGATAATTATTTTGGGAATTAGAGATATATAAGGCGTAATACTGTAGTTGTCTTATGACTATGGCTTTCGGAGTAATACTTGTGGATGTTGGTAGCAGTATTAGTGGATTTAATGGGTTCCCTTAGAAATATATTGAGACCAATAATCTAAGTTTTAAAATGATATTTGTTAGATACCTTAAGGGTAATACTCGTGGAGTTTTAAGAATATACGTGGGATATATAAATACATGGGATGAGAATTTTAATTTGAAGATCTTTTATTTTTCGACATACTCAGGGTTTTTAAGATTTTTTAAACATTTTTTTAGGAATGGTTGATGGAATTTTCACAACTTTGGCAATATTTTTGCTTTTTAAAAAAAAAATGGCAATATATATTTTTTAAGAAATTTTTCGAAGCCTACTAGGGAATGGAACTTTATTTTTTAGACACATTAGACGGCTTAAGATATTTTTAAAGCACAGTGGGCTCAACACTTATGTTTTTATACCATCAGCAATATAGCTACATTTGATACGACCAAAAGATGCATATCTCTTTGGATGAAATCCATTTCAGGACATTTGGTGTCAACCTATGGGTGTCCTTCAGTCCGTCTTTCTGTCTGTCTGGTGCAATCGATAACCCTCAAAGGGAGTATCCAATTTCAACCACACTTTATACATCGTAATATTATTATGAGTTCGGAAGAGGGCAATAAGGGTGGCCTCCTTCAGTTAGAATAAAAAAACGGACACAATTATTCAAGGGTAGTTCCGAAGGCAAAATTCGCTAAAAACTATGTTAAATAAAATTATAAATTTTATCGAACGGGTCTAGGCAGGGCCAAAAGATCGAAAAGTTTAACCAAAAATATATCTTCTGATCCTTTTAAAGTTCTAGTTCTTTGAAGTTTGAATTTGACCAAAAATAGTTCCAGAAAGACAAAGGTAGCACCTACTTTTCATACAAAGAGAAACCGGATATGGATAATTGTTTTCGAGAAATAACTGCCACCAGAAATTTACAAAGATTAAGATTTTCTTCCAAAATAAGATAATCGTTATTTTTAGAAGTAAGACACTTTCATGCCTTAAAATATGTTAACCGACATTTTTGGCTACCCGGCCAGAAAGTTCAAATTCTGAATTGCTGAGTGGCTTATACATTATGCTGAAACTAATACGCTGTGCAAAAAATTCCAAAAAATATTCAACATAAATTTAAAATAGACGATGGAGATAGCCATGTGGTATCACACACCTGGATTCAGATCGATCAAAAATATGGGGTTTTAATACAAAAATAGGTTATTTCAAACTATCAAAGTTCTTTAAGGACAAAACTGCTTTAATCAAGAAGAAGGCTGATGGAGTGAAATTTTTTCTTAAAGATTAACTTTGTCAATTGAATTTTTTAATATTGTTCCACACTCACTGAAGGATATAGTCTTGTTCCTTACCAAGGTCAACAATATTATGAAATTCGAAAAATGTGTTAAGCTTACAGAATTAAAAAAAAAAAACAAATTTACTTAAATGAGATTGGTTTTGAGGTGTTGAGGGACACATTTTCAACGCCCAGCCGGTATAGCCGAAGCAAAGGTCACTTAGTATTACATGATTTCTTAAAATAATGAGAAGAATAATAAGAAATGTTCTTAGAAGTATTCAAAAATGCAAAGACATTCTTGATTTTGTAATAATATTATGCCTCTCAATGCACCAATTTCGATTTTAAACATGACAAAGGGAAAATTCAAAATTTGCCAACCAATAACTTTGGTATTTTTACACCAAGACGTTTTATAACGTTATCTGAGTCACGGTATGAGCCTGGAAAGGTTTGTTTTGGGAAAACAAAATTCACATTCAATTATATTGTAAATGATCCCCAAACGAAATATGTTTCATTTTTCAGTCACTTTTTTTTTCAGTCACTGTTATTGACAGTTGAATTCTTTTGAACACATACAACTGTACTGGGTCTACATGTGCAGTTAACTGAAAATGTCAAATGTCATTTGTAATCCATTTGGCAATTTACAAATTGATGTGGCACTTTGTTGCAAAATGTACCAACCTAAAAAGAAAAAAAATCAACTTGATGATGACGGTTGGGCGTATACGTTGTGACAGGGCACTCATACAATGAGGCCGGCAATCATTATGTAAAGGCCAGAAATGGAAATTAAACTAAATTTATTTAAACTTCAAAGTTTGTGGAAAATTTGAAAGAACTTTTTTCTTTAGAAATTTGGTGGAGTTAGAAATATTAACAGAATAACAATAGAGCTATTTGATTTTCGATAAAGTCTGCCTGACATTCAGGTATATTGTAATTGACCCACTTTTGATGTAGCTCACATATAACGCATAGAATAGATTTTTCACAACTTTTGACAAAAAAATTTCCTTTTTGTTCCAAAATGGGAAATCGACATCCATGGCTAGTGGATGATCCCCTCCTCTTTAACGCTTGCTTATTTGCCTTCGTTGCACATCCGAAAAAAGTCCTGTGCGTATAAATGAAGTTTTTATTTTTATACTCTCCACCATAGTATGTAGGGTATATTAAGTTTGTCATTCCGTTTGTAACACCTCGAAATATACATTTTAGACCCTACAAAGTATATATATTCTTGATCAGCATAAAATTCTATGTCGATTTAGCAATATCCGTCCGTCTGTGGACATCACTCTAGCTTCCGAACGAAATGAAGTAGATTGATAAAATTTTACTCAAATGTATATTATGACTTCAGGACTTTTGGTACTGAAAATGGGTCGTGTGGGTCCACGTCTTCGTATAGTCCCCATATAACGGTACCTCCCGATATTCGGTATTTTGATGATTTTAGCGACATTATTCACCGGTATCGTTTCAAATTTGGTATTTGAAGTTCGTAATGGATACTACAGCCTAAGACAGAAAATTGTCTGTGCAGGCCCACGTCTTCGTATAGCCCCCATATATCGGTATCTCCCGATATTCGTATTTTGGTGATTTTAGCTATGTTATTCACCGCAATTGTTTAAAATTTGGTATTTGAAGTTCGAAATGGATACTACAGACTAGGACAGAAACTTGTGTGTGCAGGTCCACGTCTTCGTATAGCCCCTATATAACGGTAACTCCCGATATTTGGTATTTTGATGATTTTTACGACGTTATTCACTGAAATCGATTCAAATTTGGTATTTGAAGTTCGAAATGGATACTACAGCCTAAGACAGAAAATTGTGTGTGCGAGTCCACATCTTCGTATAGCCCCCATACAACGGTACCACCCGATATTCGGTATTTAGATGATTTTAGCGACATTATTCACAGGAATTGTTTAAAATTTGGTATTTGAAGTTAGAAATAGATGCTACAGCCTAAGTCAGAAAATTGTCTGTGCAGGTCCACGTCTTCGTATAGCCCCTATATAACGGTATCTCCCGATATTCGATATTTTGGTGATTTTAGAGACATTATTCACCGGAATTGTTCCAAATTATGTATTTAAAGTTCGTAACAGATACTACAGCCTAAGACAGAAAATTGTGTGTGCAGGTTCACGTCTTCGCATAGCCCCCCATATAAAGGTAACTCCCGATATTCGGTATTTTGATGATTTTAGCGACATTATTCACCGGCATCGTTTCAACTTTGGTATTTGAAGTTCGAAATGGTTACTACACCCTAAGAGAGAAAATTGTCTGTGCAGGCCCACGTCTTCGTATAGCCCCCATATATCGGTAGCTCCCGATATTCGGTATTTTGATGATATTAGCGATATTATTCACCGGAATTGTTTCAAATTTGGTATTTGAAGTTCGTAATGGTTTCTACAGCCTATCACAGAAAAAAATGTCTGTGCAGGTCCACGTCTTCGTATAACCCCCATATAACGGTACCTCCCGATATTCGGTATTTTGATGATTTTAGCGA